CAGGGTTATAATAGTCTTTATATTTATATTTTTTTAAGATTTCAATACCAAAACGACGTCGTTTTGAAAATAAATGCAGATAATTTATCTACATTAATTGCAGAAACATTTTTCCATATATATATATATATATATATGAGGTAGGATCCTTTGACACCGGTGTCAAATTTGAAATTTGACACCTTATTTGAGAGTCGTTAGATCTACGATTTTGATTTATAAGCATGTGATCCTATTGATTAGTGTTTAGGGAATATGGGCTTGGCCGATAAATAGAGTTTTTCAAATTCTATTTATATTCCCTCCTCTTTCTCGATTAGGTTTAGGGAATTTGAGCTTGGGCCGATAACTAGTATTTGGAAAATCATATTTATATTCCCTTCCTTTTCTCGATTAGGGTTTAGGAAATTTGGGCTTGCGCCGATAACTAGAATTTTTTAAACATCTATTTATATTCTTTTCTCTTCTTTTTTCGTTTATCGATTTGTGTGAGTCCGTGTGTTTTGAGATTGTTGAAGGTTTAAGGTTTATTACACACAAGACAAGTTCTTCCTCTATTGCTATTTCAGTATTTATCATGACCATGACCATGACCAATGATGCACGGACACGGACACGGGACACGACACGACACGACACGCCGACACGTTAATTCTAAAAAATGCTAAATTCCGACACGTTGGGACACGTTTTGATATTAAATAAAATATTTAATATATATAATATAATTTATATTTAATACATATAAGAGTCCATAATAAGTCATAACTAATCAAATATTTAAATTTCATAACAAACATATTAAAAAAAAATAGAACATCCCAAGAGTGTAGAGTGTAGAAAAATAGAAAAATTATTGTACTTATGATTACACACAGTTCAATTATTTTCATCTCCATCTTGAATAATCATGGCCTCTATCTCTGGCTCATCAAGTGAAAGGCTAGCAAATTGAAGATCTCCAATATCATCAAGTGAGTCGAATGTATCTCCAGCAATATCCCACATTTGATTTGCTCCTTGTGCATAACTAGGAGTCTTTCTTGATAAGAGTCGAAGATTGCTATGCACATAAACCAAGTCTTCAGCACGTTTTGGAGTGATTTTATTCCTCTTGATGGAATGCACAAAAGAATAAGTACTCCAATTGCGTTCAGCACATGATGAAGAGGAGGGTTGTTGCAGTAGTCTCAATGCTATTTTTTGAAGCATCGGTGTAAAGGTACAATAAAGTAGCCACCAAGATTTTGGATCCATAGTGTATTGAGTATTGATGGCATCAAAATCACCAAAGGTTCCACTATTGCTAATAAAATCTGCATACTCCAAACTAATCCGGCTTCGGTCCTCCATGCTAGGAAAGAATCTCCTTAAACATTTTTGTCGCTCTTGAGTAAGCTCTAAATCCATGTGTGGAGGAACTCGACTAGAATCTTCCTGAAGCCATTGTTGACTATAGTATCTAAAAGAGAAGTAAAAAAAATCAACAAGTTGTCAAATTATATCAAGAGGAGTATTAATTTTAAACTAAATCATATTTAAAAACTTACTTGGGATTCAAAGCATGTGCCAAACAGTGTAGTGGAGTTGAGTTTTTTGTCCAACGATCCACAAGAATGCGATGCACCACATCATAAAAAGAGGAGCTCTCTTCCATCCTCCTCCCTTCTTTATGGTATATAGCTTTCTTCACTTTCACGATTGAGTAGCTCTCTTCCATCCTCGCTCTATAGTATCGCTAGATCAGCAAGCACGTGAGTAGCTGCTTGACCGTTGCTCGATTGGCTTCGTTCCACTTGGATGCTCTCCTAGTTGGTGGCGTCGGCGAGCAATGATCAATGAACGAGAAGAAGAACGAGAGGAGAAGGAGAAGGTTCTTGATGGTGTGTTTGCTCTCACCAAGAGAAATGACAGAGAGAGAGAGTAGTTCTGAGATATTAAAGGAATGAATTGAAAAAATTAAAAAGGAGTGAAATCAAAACCTAATATATTCGAAATTAGAGAAATGAAGCAATTATCACACTGTAATCTCAATACAAACATGGAGCAAATTAAGTTGTTAGGATTTTACAAAAAAAAAAAAAAAAGTTGTTAGAAGGTTGTGTGAAAAGCTCATAAGATAGTTAAGGAGAAAATTAAGCGTTCATGGGGCTCTTTTCTAACCGACGTAATAACACCGCCATCATATTCCATTTTTGTAGTAGTGTCACTTACAATACTCACCCCTTTATGAGTCCAAGCCTCTCGAATAGGTTCACACAACGTATCAATATTTTCTTTCTCCTTTTGCAACAGAGTGGTTCGCAGTGAGTTATATCCCGGTGACAAATAACCTCCAATATTATGATTTGCTGCATAAGTATACGAAGCTTGGAAGTAAGGGTTCTTTGCCAAATTGAATGGCAATCCTGCTGAATAAAACATTCTAGCAATCAGGTAATTTAATTCTTCTCGCTCCCCAACATTAAATGCCATCTCAAGAGAACCTGCAGTTTTTCTTTTTTTCGGGCACGTGGAAGAGCTAGAAGGAGGTAAAGGTACATTTCTGGGTGCATTGGATTGCTTTCTGGTCAGCTTCTTTTTCTAATTTCTCCATCTCTATCAGATCTCTATTTTGCACCATTAAGCATTTCCCAATTCCTTTGCCTGATAGTTTCAACAAATGAGCCCTCACTCTAGTATATGAACTTTTAAAATCTTTTTTACAAAAGTTGCACATCCAAGATAAATTTCCTCTTCCTTCCACTATAGCATCTATTTTGGTAACATATTTCCATAAGGGTTTATCTAGTAATTCATTGACATCAGAAGCACTGGTAGCAGCAGTGGCACTATTACTTGCACTGGCAGAGGCAGAACTCGAATGATCCATCTTGTAATTCTATAAATGTGTTAAACAAAAATGAAATTAGTGAGATTGATTTAGTATATAAAACAGAGCACTAAATTACTTGATGCAAGCTGCTAGAATATATTGAGTAAAACTAAAGTAGTTCGTAGGTCTGAGGGAGTTGGATTAACATGGTTGAAAGAAAAAAGAATGAAATAAAAAGGATCAACTAGAATATAAGCTATTAATATGCTTGCACTTGTTTTACTCCTCTCTGATTCAACAACATAAACACTTATCAATGGCAGAAACAAAGAAAACTACTTTTGTATTCTATCTTTGCAGTGAACAACTGAGTAAAAAGAGGACACAGACAAGTACATGACTATTCCTTTTATATGAGAAAAATGACAAAAAAACATAAGCTAGATACTATTAAATAATTGAGCAGCATCTCACATCAAATCATACACACACACACACATATATATGGAGGACTAAACACATATACACACACCCCCACTTTAATTTGGGCCTTAATGGAGGACTAAACACATATCAGAAATTTAAGACCCAGTTAGATATATAGCATGACAAAATAAAAATTCATAGCCCAAATAATGGTGCAAGCATGGGCAAAACAAACAGGAAGATGAACTAGAAGAAGAATTATACCATACCATAAAGATCTAGGAGGAACAAGGATACTTACGGGTAGAATCTGAAAGACTACAATATCCCACATTCAATCACATAAAAAGTGTTCCAATAGCTTAATAATCAATCTATTTTGACTATATGAAGCCTTTTGGTGCAGTAGAGGTTACACCCCCACCAAGTTAAAATCAGAGAAGATGAGTGGAAAATTGGAAATAATTTTGGGGTGATCGTTTAACTATGGTATGCAAAACATCAGAGCTGCAGAGAATTTCTATCTTACATGATACCATTAACAAGTATCAACAACTCTACATATGCACATACCTCACATTTTCATTTGTTTCTTTAGCAATTTGTTATTTTACATATAATTATTTTGTTATTAGATACACTTCATAGTAAAGTGCTCTAACCTGGTATAGATAACTGTGAATGCAGAATCTCTATGCCAAATATTCAACCATGGTGTGACTATTATTTGTGTGTCTAAAGAGTCTTGATTGTGCATGATGACAGTGAGTGTGAAGATAGCTATATGAAAATGACACCACTAACAAGCATATGACGTTGATAGTTCATAGAAAAGCTTTGTGGTCTCAAGAAAAGAGTACCCATCTAGAGGGGATTTAAACAACATGACATTTCAACAAGTAGGGGCCAGTCTCCAATATATATATTTTTGAACAGTCAAGAGCTATGTAACCTACTAATTAATTTTCAGAATTATGATTTTATACATAAGATGCAGAGGGGAAAGAGCTAGTATGAAGTTGTTGGTAATAGACCTTATATATATCATGAATTTAAAGTTCTATACTAGTTACAATTATATGCCTAATATTAGTAGTGTCGTTCATTCATTAGGGATGATTTCGTTCATATTTATAGATATATAATATTCTGAAAGTGTCGAATGTAACAGATCCCCCTTTCTCTCTTTGCTATGCTTACTCGAATGTAACAGGCTAACAGCGGCTTATATAGTCTATTTAAATAAAGAGAAACCATCTATTACTCTCGAGTCTCGACTATTGAACACTATGAAAATATTAAAGAAATCATCTACAGTGTCAAGTTCAATTGTGAGCAGAACTTAATTCACTACCAACGAAAGAAGACTTACCGGAGATGTAGAAGACGACCAACGACCGGCGACCGACGACGACCGAGGACGAAAGAAGAAAAGGACCAGGCGGCGACCATCACCCTCCACTCTCCAGCGCGAGAGAGGATAAGAGATTCAGAGGATAGGGTTCACTTTTGATTTTTATTAAATATATTTTATATTTTTTTAATTGTTAAAAAAAATGCAAAACGTGTCCCAAAACGTGTCCAAATACGTTGATTACGTGTCGGATTCGGTCAAACACGCGTGTCCCTCAAGTCAACGTGTCCCTAAAAGTTGACCACGTGTCGGACGCGTGTCCGAACGTGTCCTAACGTGTCCGTGTCCGACACGTGTCGGACACACATTTTTTCACAGAAAACACGTGTCCGTGCTTAAGAGACCATGACCATGCATACAACTTTGTTACTCAAAGCCAATCCCTCCCACTTGAAATGGAAGCAATACCCTTTGCCTTTGCCACCTCATCGAATCACAAAGCCTGTTAAATTCACTCCAATAACACACGCTACATATAAATACAACAGCTCTATCAAATGTGTGTTATCGCGGAAGCAATTAGAAAACTCGTCCACCTCAAAATCCCCGTTGGAGGTTCTGGCGAGTACTTTATCAAATGCGCTGAAGGCGTTGCGAAAGCCGGCCATAGCTGCGGTGTTGGTAGGGTTGCTCTTAATGTACAACCCTAACTCTGCATTAGCTGCCGCAGTAGGTCCAATGGGTAGAAGTTGCTTTTCTTCTTGTTCGACCAATCAAAATCAGACAAATCAGACCAATAAAAAAAATTCCAAGAATGAAAGAACCACATCGGATCTAGAAGAAGAGGAAGAAGAAGGGTTCTCTTGCTCGTTGTCAGCTGATGCTGCTCTATTTCTTTTCTTTTTGAGCTTAACTTCCTCTATATTCGTTTCTCTCTATCTTTTAGATCGGTCTGAACGTATACGTAGTAGCAAAATCAGCATTCTCAAGCTTCAGGTGTGGTCACTTTTATGAAATTTTAGTTTCTTTCTTCATTGCTTGATTTTCTGCCATTAGCATAAACTATTTTGCTATAATATATGCTTCTTGTAATTCTGTTGGTATTGTTGCTTGTGGGTTTGAAAGATTAACAGCTATGCTTTTTTACCTGTGCTAGTGAACTAGCGAAGTAATGCATTGCTACTGTAGTTACTGTGTTTAAATTTCTCTCACTGATGCTTACAATGTCATGTGGGTTTAGTTTTCTGAACCAAAGTTTAGGAGGGCAAAGATTTGTTAGCTACCCATACCATTGCATGGCACAATCAGTGTCGGTTTATTCATGCATTCTATTAGGTGAATTTAGATGGAGGTGCTGTGCTTTTAGGTTGGGTCACCCACTTCAAAGGGATTTGAATAGGATTGCACATGTTGCATCATCTTTTGATGGTTTGAATTATGTATTGACAATTCTGACACCATGTTTTCTATACGGGCCATTGATGTTAATATTTCGATATGGTATGGTATTGTATAAGATAATATCTTTCAATATTTTAAAAATTAATATATTAAAAAAAATTATTTTAATATATAAATATTGAAATGATATATTAGTTCTTTCTCAATTGATTCCTGGAATTAGCATAAAGCATTTTTGCTTCACGTGCTTCCAGTAAATTGTATTGCTTACATGAAGTTATGCATTGCTACTATGTTTTCCGTGACTAATGCATACAATGTTGGCTTAGATTTCTGAACCTAAGATCAATGCGGGCAAGGTTTGTTACTATTTTAATTGGATTTGAAGGCTTGTTTGTCAGCATCTTGTTAGCTACCATTGCACGTGTCAGTTTATTCACGAGTCTTAAATATTGGTGAATTTCAAATTTTAATGTTGTTGTTCTTTTAGGTTGCATTGTTTGGGGTGATGCGTCCCTCACTTCTAAGGGATCTGAATAGGATTGCATAAGTTGCAGATCCATCAACTCATGAAGATTGGGTTTATATATGGGCAGCCAGGACAGGTGAAACTCCTAAATACGCAATTATTTTTGTCACTTGTTTATCATTTGTCTTTTTATCACCAGTATGCTTAGTATTTTCCTGAACATGTGAACATGATTAGTATTTTCACTATTCTGTGTAACCATGGATTGGTGGCATATTTAAGTGAAAATTAGTGATTTCTGGTGTTAGTGTCTTCGCTTAATCATGACGAAATTATTCTATTGGATGACATTTTGTCCCCTTCTCCAACAGAATATCTTCTTTAACCAAAAGAAGGGAAAGTTCTGGAGAATAATGTCATAGTGGTACATAAATGTCTCCCATGGAGAGTGAAGTATGTTGATATAGGGGTGTCCATAGTAGTCATGGTAGAGACCAAGGCACTAGTGGAGCTTCCCATGTATGTGCTAAAGGGGGGAGTGTATGTGTATGACAGCATATGAGAGGAGTGGGGAAGAAGAAGATCCCCTCTCCATGTGTGAGAGGGGTATTTAGAGAGGAGAGTCCTCTCTTCACGGGGGCTTGAGTTGGTCAGCCCATGAGCTGTCTCATCAAGCTGCCCACTGTCAGTGTACAGGGGCAGCAGTGCAGGGATGGAAAATGTCCCAGTGGTGAGCCTCTATGGCTTGTATGGGTTCCCTCTAGAAGGTTCTAGATGTGGGCTTTAAACGAATGGGCTCATCTGATGGGCCTTAGTAAGTAGCATCCGGAACAGGAGCCCCCCCAGCTTGGTAGCTTGAAGGAGTCAAGGTGCCAAGATATATGGCAGCTTTAGGCCGGATACCCGTTGTGTGTAGTGTTCTAAGCAGGATATAATGTAACTGATCGCTAATACGTCGGCCTTCATGTCTTGTCTATTTGTTGTCACCGAGTATGAATCAACTGGTTAGCGATGCTTAATTAAAGAGAATCTTCTATTATGGCTTGCAATTGTGCTGAACTTTTGTTGTCTTCGAAGATGCGTCTTGTTGTTAAGGAAGGTCTTCAAGTGTTGTTGGAGTGGTAATAATTTTAATTGTAAGCGTAAGTTGGCGAGCTCATGTTGAATCAAATAGCCTGAAGATGTTGACAACTGGAATAAGAATCTCTTGATGATCTAATAAAATAAAGTCGACAGGATTGCAGATCCGAACTTCGTGAGATAAATAAAGTAGTAGATGAGATCTTCTGGAGAGGATGATGTGTTCCAAAATAGAGAGTGATGATTCTCATGATAAATAAATATACTCCTTTCTTCAGAAATTAAACTCGCTGGTGACAAATAATGTCGTAGATAAAAACTTCTGGAGAGAATAATGCGTTCCAAGAGAGAAAGAGGTTGGTAGTCTTCATAAATGATAAATGTGTATATTCCTTTCTTTAACAACAAAGCTAGGCGATATGAATGTATAATAAGTAATGCCAAGTGACTTGGGTCTTTGATGTCCGGTTGCTCAGATATGTTGCTCCATGATCATGTTTAATAACTGAAATAAAGATGTCTTGACCGTCTGATAATAACAAAATAATGTTGTAGATGAAAGCTTCTGAGGAGGATAATTGCTCCAAGAGAGATGTGATGAAGATCCTGACGATAAATATATATGCTCCTTTCTTCAGAAATAAAACTCGCTGATGACAAATAATGTAGCGGATGAAAGCTTCTCGAGAAGAGAATGTGTTCCAAAAGAGAAAGAGACTGGGATTCTTCATAGATGATAAATATGTATATTCCTTTCTTTAACAACAAAGCACGGCGATATGAACGTCTAATAAATAATGCCCAGTGACTTGGGTCTTTGATGTCCAGTTGGTCCAAAGAGACTGGGATTCTTCATAGATGATAAATATGTACATTCCTTCATAGATTGTTTAAGCAACTCATATGGCATTTATAATCATATGAAATTTATAAAGATGCGGTAGAGAGAAACATGTATATGCTAGTGGAGAGATATTGCTGAAATAAAACCTGACCATGTGAGCATCGTTGGACACTTGGCATACAAGTGTTGGTTGTATAACTTTGAGTATGTTTGTTGATGAATGCCGACCTTCCTGTTATAAAATAATTTCAGCCGATTGAGTACACCGACCGGTCTTCATAAATAATTACCGAACGTGAGAATCATCTCGGCCTTCACAAATAATTACCGGGTGTGAGAACCATCCCGGCCTTCATAAATAATTACCGGTGGTGAGAACCATCCCGACCTTCATAAATAATTACCGGGCGTGAGAACCATCCCGGCCTTCATAGCATACCGGGCGTGAGGACCATCCCGGCCTTCGTAATTAATTATCGGGGGTGAGAACCATCTCGGCCTTCGTAATTAATTACCGGGTGTGAGAACCATCCCGGCCTTCGTAATTAATTACCGGGTGTGAGAACCATCCCGGCCTTCGTAATTAATTACCGAGTGTGAGAACCATCCCGGCCTTCATAAATATTTACTGGGCGTGAGAGCCATTCCGGCCTTCGTAAATAAATACCGGGCGTGAGAACCATCCCAGCCTTCATAAATATTTACCAGGCGTGAGAACCATCCCGGCCTTCGTAAATAATTACCGGGCGTAAGAACCATCCCGGCTTTCGTAAACAAATACCGGGCGTGAGAGCCGGCCTTCGTAAATAATTACCTGGCGTGAGAGCCGTCCCGGCCTTCGTAAATAATTACCGGGCGTAAGAACCATCCCGGCCTTCGTAAATAATTACCGGGCCTTCGTAAATAAATATTGGGCGTGAGAGGCGTCTCGGCCTTCGTAAATAATTATCGGGTGTAAGAACCATCCCGACCTTCGTAAATAATTACCAAGAGTGAGAATTATCTGGGCCTTCGTAAAACATTAAGCAACTCACATGAAATTTGTAGTCATATGAAATTGATAATGATGTAGTTGGAGAGAAACACACGTATGCTAGTGAAGAGTTATTATTGCTAGATGTTGAAAATTAGACCTGATAATGTGAGTCTCGCTGAACACTAATGTAGGCCCCATAGAGTTTTTAATCTAAAAAGAACCCATGAGAAGCATGGAGCATGACTTTTCCAATGAGACGTTACCTTCTGTACAAATTTGGATGATCCTTTGAAATATATATATATATATATATATATATATATATATATTATGTCCACGAAAGCAAAGGTGCAGGCAGCATAATTGAATACCTTTAAGCTGGTCTCCCGAGAGATATGGTCTTAGAAATCATATATTATATATGCTTTGATGGGTGGTGCTTTCCACGTAACAATCTTCCTCCGGCTTGTGATATGAATTTGTATAATGCTTGGAAAAAGTGGCGTGAACAGTGTCTAGCTTTTCATGATCTCACTAAAGTGATTTAATTGCTTTGTCTTTGTCATTTCCCAAAATTCACGTGGTCTACCGTCAAACCTGAAAGCAAGGTCTTCAAAGTTCATTAGTTTGCTTGCCAATGTGGAAGTTAGTTCGCCTGTCAACGTGGGTCCGCGGCTTCGGGGGTTAACCCAGTCATCAACGTGCTTGAGAGTGGCAGTGATTGTACATGTGCTTTGAAAATTCCAATTCTTCTTGTATACTTTCCAATGTGGGCCCGCCAATACCTCATTAATTTTCCTGACATGTTAAATGAGGTAAACTTCTTGGAGTGGGCCGCCATTAAGCTTGCAAATTTCTCTTTGGACGGGGCCCACCATCAATAGTTTTTGTATTCAATTTGCTTTTCCATCGCGTGCTCCTAGTACATAGCCTTAGGTTGTCTGCTATTATCTTCATAGAAATCTTTGTGGGACCCGCCAAGAAATGATACATTTGGAAAAGCTTCTTCAAGTCTGATCTGTTGGGGCGATTGCTATTCTGTTGGGCGGTTGTAGTCTCCTCGGGCGGTCACCATCTTCTTTGTAGTTGACAGCTAGTTGAGTCTCTTTGGATAGTTGTGCCTTAGTTGGGCGTGGGAGGCCGGCAAGTCAGTATAGTTTGGTGAGCTGCTTACTGGTCGGTGGGTTCCAAGGGAGGTCGGGCGACCGGTGATCGAGGCTTCTGGCCGGTAGGTTGTTTCCGTAGGCGGTTGGTACCTGTGGTCTCTGTAGTTGGGCGATGGGGTCTTTCTTTGGGCGGTGGGCGGTCAGTAATGTGATTAGATGTGAGATCTCCTTGGACGGTTGAGATCTCCCTCGGCGGTTGGTACATGGCTTGGTTGGCTTCTATCTTGGTCGGTTGAAGGAAGACCCCATAGGGATAAGTGAAGCAAAGTTGGGCGGTCAGTTGAGTGAGAGAGTTGGGCTGTTGATCTGAACCTGTCGATAGTGTTGGGCGCCAAAGAGTTCAGTGGAGACCGGCAAATAGTGATGCTCTCTGTTAGGGTAGGCGGCAGCCATGGCGGCCATAGATGTGTTGCTTTGCATGCTTGGGGAAATGACTCATCGGCTTGTATTCTTCTCTTGCCAATTTCTTCACGCCATTGAATGAGGATAGCTTGTAGGGGGCCACTCTTTCGCGGGAATTTGGATGATACTTTGATATATATATAAATGGAAAAAACTAATATTACGTAACATGATATAAAAAAATTTACCGACTCACACATTGGTTTCTGCAGTAGTATTTTTTATTTTTTGTTTTTATTATATGTATGGAGCTACATGCATCTTTGTTTGAGTAGGAAAAATTATTAGTTAGGTTACCTTAATATATATGTATTACGTTCACGAGAGTAAAGATGCAGGCATTGGCAAACCATTAAATTGATCCACTTGTATCTAATGGCTCAAATTACTAAAAAATTAGAGTCCTTAGATGTAAGTGGGATCAACGATCAAGATTGAGAGTGTAACTTACACTGATGTAAATGATGCTAACCCTACAATATATATATATAACGAAAGCACAAGTTGATATATATATGATGTGTGTGAGAGGCGATCGATATGTTGTTTGATGAATGATACGAGTTGGTAGGTTGCCATCTTTTTGTCGGTTGGGCGTTCTTCATTTACTTGGGCGGTTGCCACCTACGGATCCGTTGATGAATGTTAGGTGGTGGGACTTTCTTTGGGTTGTCGGCATGAGGGGTGCTCTGGGCGACCATGAAGCTGCACATGTCGTTTAACTGCTCGGAACACATGGTTTCGCTGGAGTTGTTAGGCAAGGTGCAAAGCGAGCCAACTTAATGGAAAACTCTGATTTCCTCACTTGCGAGATGGTATTCTTATCCTGTACGATTGGGTATTCTGGTGTTCTTTTCTTTATTTTGTAGATCTGGGTTTGGAAAGCACCAGTAGCACGGCCTTTGGTAGCTGAGCCAATAAACGAGAAGTCTTTCGTGCCAATCCTTGTTCAAAATGAAAACAGGAGTTTTTGCCTTTCGACAGCCCTTAGCAGAGAAAGGGGGAATCGAAGTTTAACGTTTCGACGGCGTCAATGTACTCATAGTGGTACATAAATGTCTCCCATGGAAGGTGAAGTATGTTGATATAGTCATGGTAGAGACCAAGACACTAGTGGAGCTTCCCATGTATGTGCTAAAGGGGGGAGTGTGTTTGTACGACAGCATATGAGAGGAGTGGGGAAGAAGAAGATTCTCTCTCCATGTGTGAGAGGGGTATTTAGAGAGGAGAGTCCTCTCTTCATGGGGGTTTGAGCTGGTCAGCCCATGAGCTGTCTCATCAAGCTGCCCATTGTCAGTGTACAGGGGCAGCAGTGTAGGGATGAGAAATGTCCCAGTGGTGAGTCTCTATGGCTTGTCATGGGTTCCCTCTAGAAAGTTCTAGATGTGGGCTTTAAACGATTGGGCCCATCTGGTGGGCCTTAGTAAGTAGCATCCGGAACAAGATGCAACACTAAACTTCACTTTATCTGAGGATAGTTCTAAGTCTCGAAGTTTATATATCATAATACTTTTAAGCATTGAATATATTCTTCAATTAATGTATAAGTATTAAGGTTTATACTTCCACTCGAAATTAAGAAGAAAGCTTCTAGGTTTAATTTGATATTTGCATTTTAACCAATGTAGTGTGGATGTATCTGGAAAATGATATGCAGGTCAAATCTATTGTTAAGGAAATATAGGAAATCTTGAAAAGAGATATTTACTTTAAATATTGAATTACTTATGATTGTTATATAATGTATAGCTTAAAGCAACATGGCTGTATGATCTACTCTCTATTCTCATTTACTTCTTTATCTGATTCTTTGTCAGCGTCGGCAGTATCTTCAGAGACGACAGTAGCTTTGCTTCGACATCGTGATTACTTTATCTCAGCATATTCATCTGTAAGTGACTTTAATCTCCGAGAGCCTTCATTGGGTTCTTGATGTTACTGTTATACAGACCTCTTCAATTAAACAAGGAGATAAGAATAATAGAAGAAATAATTCTCAAAGAAGTCAGTTTTATTTCTGAGAAAGAGACAAATCTTGGTACAATGGTTCCTCGTATTACACAGCTATTTACAGAGCTTAACAACACAAACAACTAATTACTGTACAATGAAAATGGTAGGGAAATTCAATAGTCCCTTTTGTTGGGAAAACTCGGTTCCCTCGAGCTCGGCTCAGGGGCCTTTGTGCGGAAGTCAATCAACAAGATCATGATCTCGGATCTCGACAATACCTCAGCCTGAACTTCACCAGGTCAGGCAGCGCAGCGGAAAAATCAAAACGAAAACAGGAGAGAAGAAGAACACAACTAGATTTAACGTGGGAAAACTTTCTCCAATGAAGAAGTAAAAACCTACGGGACCTAGTTCAGATCAGAAATTCACTATGAAAATAATGGTTACAAATAATCAAATACACCAATGTGGTGGTTAACCCAACCTCTCCAACAATGGTGATAATCAAACTACCCTAGAGATGTTTCACTCAAACTCTCTCTAGAGATCTCTCAAATGCAAAGCATAAAGCTTTTGCTCAAACAATCAAATAATTTCCTCAAATTTGTTCTCTCAAATCTGACCTCTCAAAATAAACAAAAGCTTTATGCTTTGTCTTTCCTCTCCAAAGCTTTGCTTCCTCTGTTCTTATTCTTTCCTAAACTTTTCCTTTCTGTCTTCCTTTTCCTTTCTTTCCTCTAAACTTTCACATAATTGCTGAGTCAGTAACTACTAACCAACCACTTGGGTCTCTGCTGGGGCCCACTTCTTTCTCTTCTTGGCTCTTTTATAGACTTTTATGGGGTCGAACCGCATCATACTGCTTACAACTTAGTGCTATTGTACTATTAATCATGTTAATTTTCGTTGATAACAACTTGACATTAATGCATTGTAACATAACATTTTTATTGCTGTGATAGATGAGATCTTGTTACAACACCACATTCCACATTAATATCCTAGTTTTTCACTTCAGTTTGAAACAGAAAGTATTAAAATGGATAGAGAGCTTCCAATTCAATGCTATTAAATTTTTTGTGCCTTTTTAGTTGAGAAAATATGAGCTCTATGTTATAAACGAGAAGTTTTTTTTTTGGTCCAAAAAAGTAATTCTTAAACTCTAAGGTTTGCTGCTCGTCAAATTAATTTTATCTACTAGAAAACTAAACTTATTTTATTTTTTTAAGTTCATCGTCAATGAAAAATCTTTATCTTTCCAAGTTTACATGCAATTTCAATTATATTCTATATTTGACCTTACCTGAAACATCTGCTGCAGTAGAACTAACTGAAAACGAGTTTAAGGAAAGTTGGAATTCCTGTAACTTTTGTAGGTGGACATAAAGCAGAGTTTTGAAGATATGGAGACATGTTTTCTTCAACTTTCAATGGAAGAGCAGGCAAAATCTGATGTAAACAACATAAAGAAGCAAAGCACAAGAAGCCAGAGCGTGAATGAGTCCAGCAATGAATACGTAGTGGTATCATCCTGTTTCTGAATGACATTCTTAATTTGTATTTTCAATATGCTGTATTCTTGCATGCATTTTACTGGTTCTAACTTCTTCCCCCGTTATTACACAAAAGGGTGAAGTTCCATGGGCACACTTCTTATGTCAAAAGTCTCAAATATTTACCCGGGGTAACTGCCTCCCTACTCGGGTAAATAATTCAAACATTTTTCAGATTCATGAAATGTACTCGGTATCTCCCTATCTATCCTGGTAGATAAAAAATTTCAAAATATACCCGGGTAGGCTTCATGGTCAACGGTCAAACAGGGACATATTGGTGTTATGTTTTCTGGAGAGGTTAAATTTTTAAAATAGTTTATAAATAGGGTCAATTTAGTAATTAATTATTAAAAAAAAGCTACACTGCTCAAAAAGCCTATGTTCTTATATATTAGATAACAATCTTCGCAATTGCCAAAGGAGAACATAAACTTCCTAGCATCAATGGAAGTGGAGACTTGAAGGAAGCTTTACTAAAACTTGGATCCATTCCTTCGAGCAAATTATTAGTAAGATCAATGATATTTTCTTAGTCCTTTTGCAGATGTTAGTACATTTCTTTGAAACGATATCACTAAGGGCTTGAATTACTTGCAGGGAGGTGGGGTTTTAGGGAACCCTCAGAATGAAAATGATACTCTCTCAGAACAGAAGTTACTTGAAGATTACCCACATCTGCGGCCTTTGTAAATTGTGATGATATGCTTGCGTACTAGCTTGCGTTCTGCTTCTAGACTTCTAGAGTTACGAGCAGAAATTGGGTTGAATTGCATAGTTGAGGATCATCTAGGGTAATACTGAATAACGTTAAAACTATTGATATTGTCCTGCTACTCAATCTGCTAATTTATACGATGCGGCCAGTGTCAGTAATGATGTCGTGTCACTATAGAAGGTTCAATCTTAAATATTGATGGTGTTTAGTTATACAAATTACCAGCAGGACCAGTTCTAAAGAATATATGCAATGTCACAGACAATTATTTTGTCACCTTTATTTTAAGTTGTCTTTTTTGTATAGAAATTGCTCTACTGTTCAATTCGTTGGACTTTTCCAGAATTTGCTCATACATGCTATAATAACTAGGGATGTAAATGGGTCTAGCGACTTGTTAGGGCTTCAAGACTTGACTTCCTTTAAGTTTGGCGTGTCGTGTTTAATAAATAGAATGGGTTCAAGCTTAAAAAAAGCTTGTTTAACAAATAAGCTAAAATCTAATTTAACGAGACTTGGCTTGAAAGTCCATAAGTTGGATTGATATATTATTATAATAATTATAAGTTGGAGTAATCTTTAAGAAGAAATTGTCTAACTCATTATTTGATCATGAAGTCTCGACTTTAATGTATCTTGAATAGCCCATGAATTGAATTCCTAATGGGATATTTGAATATATTGAAAATATTATTATTTTTTTGTTCGGACTAGATAGCATGAAAGATGTAATTATATGTGAACTGAGTGAATTTTATGATTATTTTTTCTCTGATTAAGGAATACAAAATTTGATGTATTTATAGTTTCAAATTTCGAAAAAAATATATTTTATAATTATAAATGAGTCAAATCAAATTGAAGTCAAATTTTTATAAACAAACCAAGCCAGCCCAAAAAGGCTAATGGATCAAGCCAAATTCAATATAATCTTCATAGATTTGACTTGTCTAAGCTAAAGTTTGACTCTCATTTATATCCCTAATCAGAATATATTCTTTAAAAAACCAAGTCATTTATTCTATTGGAAGTTGCTTATATAAAACAAAAGAAAATTTCAATGTTTAGTATTTGTCTTGACGGACGCCATTATTTAGTTGGGAGAATCGTAAAAGTGTTTGAAATTTTGATGAAAAAAATCGTAAAATCGTTTCACCTACTATGATTATTATATATGCTAGCTACAAGCAGGTTTAGCTTTAAAATCGATTCGATGCTATGAAAACTTAAAAAAAAAAGTCGCCGCTGCATGTTAGGAAATGAATAAGTCCAAGATTGATCGTATCTTCGGCCTCTTCCCTTCTGATGCATATAAATAATAAACGACATTGCTTTAATAAATGTATATAGTGCGGCGAATTGGGGCAAATACAAAACAAGCGAACTAAATTATTATGTTCTGATTTTTTTTCTTCTTTTTAAAACTGTTTTGTAGAATAGCTATAAAAATATGATAACTTATGGACGTTGGTCATAACTACGTGATGTAGCTTCATGACTTAGTATTTATCTATTATTTGGAGGCATCTCAGGACTTCTATTTTGGTTTTGCAATTACACAAGGATATAGATGGATTTTATATTGTTATGTTAATGAAGAAAAAATGACTTTGCATGTCTGATAACTTAATTTATTTTAACTTCCGCATTTAATTGAGCTGCGCTTAATACCGTAATATGATAACAAATTTGGATGCATACGGTGTGTTACATCTTACCACTGAGATATAATGTAGTTTGTAAAAAAAAAATTATAAATATAATCTTAAGTTATTGTAATATTAAAAAAAATAGATATTGCATTGTCTTCACTCATTTGTTTTCTGGTTAGTTGATGATTATTTCTGTTTTAATAAAAAAAAAATTCCTATTGACCCTTCAAACTTTGTGCCTTACTTTATTTTTAAAATAGTGGAACCTGCCATTTTGTTCTCTCTTGGAAAATGAAAGTCTCTCGAGAGACATAAAGCCCTTTAATATATAACTTAATTACATTTTAAAAAGTTCAAATTACAAATAACCAATGGATTTTATAAGAGTTATGTTGTAGGAAAAGTGATTGTGTAATGTTATAGAGATTCGTTTTGCGTGCCTTAATTTTTTATTTATTTTTTTGTTTTAAAAAGTGTGGGCACCACAAAATATTGTGAGTGTAGGAAAGTTTGTTGTGTTATGTTAAAGGATAAAACGAAAACCCATAAACAATAGTAGTACAACTTTAGGAGATAAAAATGAGAGTAAACACCATTTTTGGTCCCTGGCAATATCTACGAAATCCTTTTTAGTCCCTGTCAATAAAAAAGAACCAAATTGGTCCATAAAATTATGAAAAAAGAGTCACGTTAGTCCTTATGTCAACTCCTCTGTCACTAACGTGGCCCTTTTTACATACTGTTAGGGACCAATTTGGTCCTTTTTTATTGTCAGGGACTAAAAACGATTTCGTAGATATTGTCAGGGACCAAAAAGGGTATTTACTCTAAAAATGAATATAGAAGAGATGTATTTTCTGTTTCCTAATTTAAAAGTCATACAACGCATTTGTATTTAAAAGCCATATTAATGCTACTTTAAAAACCAATTTACGATGTTACAAATAAAAAAAAAAATTAAGCTACAAAGTTTCTCCTTGGCTATTTTGTAATGATATTAGCATCGAATAAATTAGATGCAAGTATCAAAACAGTAGTTGTACTAGTTAGAGCGTTTTCACTAGATTCAAACACTTGCAACTATTATTATCTATTGAAGTGTAACTTGTTATTTATAATACTAGGTATGCTTTTCTACTTTTAAAAATAGAAATCATGTTAATAGAGGGGTTGATGATAAAGGATTTCTTAGTTTCTCTAATAAAGCCTAAATTCGAGTATGCAACTTGTGGTGAGGTTCATTGCTACTTTGCTTATCAATTTAAGGATCCTGATACGGAGTATCATGCCTTTTTAGAAGATAAGATTCAATATGAAATGGGGTATAAGTCTCGTGAGGAAAAAGGGGAGAAAAAAATTTCTTGACTGAATGTTTTTTATGTCAAAACTTTTGCATGTGTGCGTAAGGTTTTTTTTTTTTTATAAATCACAAGTATCTTTTACGGGAGTTAATTTTGTTCAAGACGTATATAGAAAGGATCGAACATATGCTCTCACTTTCATCTGCTCAGCTTCAATGCGATAACTGAACTACTATAATTTGCGCTAACTGAACTACCATCATTTGTTAGATAATTTGTATAATAGTGCTGGAATGGAGTGTGTGGTAAGTCCGGATAATAGGGGCCATATTGGGACCAAAAGTGTCGTGTTTGATATTGAGATCATCATTTCAAGTGATGAGGGGCATTTAATATGTAAATAAGACTCCAGGGTTACTACTTTGGGCCCATTTAGACGAGCTTTTGAAAAAAAAATTACTTTTTACAAAAATTAAAATTATTTAGATTTTTTTATAAAAAAAATTATTTGGCTTTTGAAAAACAATATTTAACTTTTGACTTATGCTTTTTTTAGAAGTTAAAATATTTAGTTTAAAAAAAATAAAATTTTTGATTCAAGTAACAATCAACCTCGTCACTGATTGCACACTCGAATTTAGGCTTCATTAGAGAAGCTAAGAACAGCAACCTATCGAGGAAATCACATTCCTTTGCACCGATTGAACCTCTACAATAAAAAGGGAGAGCTTCTCATCAACACATGCATTTTCCAAGGCATAAAATCACAAGAATCAGCCATGAAAGTGGGTTCAACTCGTCATTCTCCGCTTGCAAGTCAAGAGAATCGTTCAGGATGTGCTGGTGGGGTACCAGCTTTAATGATCTTAACATATATAACAGAAAGAAAGTTAATGCACTGTGACTATGACATGTAAACTAGTAGATAGAACCAAATCGTGTAACTCAAACGACAACTAGTTATATAACAAATAGTTAATTAGCTGTTTCAAAACCTAATATTAATAAGGGAAAGGTATTTCTCCATATACCGGAGATAAAATTATCTCCAGTGAGCTCAAAACGACGTTGTTTTGAGTTATAAGATTAAAAAATTATAATGACAAAGACTAATATACCCCTGCAATATATTATAATTACAAAAATACATTAATTTTCGTCCCAAAACGACGTAGTTTTTGAGCTCATTGGAGATAACTTTATCTTCGGTGACCGGAGAAATCCTTTACACTATTAATAAGGGTTTGCTTTTTCTGCAGTAAGCCCAATATGACATCGATGTTTTTGTAATTTTAATTTATTGCAGGGTTATTATAGTTTAATCCTAAAACGACATCGTTTTGGAAATAAATACAGATAACTTATCTGTATTAATTGCTGAAATATTTTTCTATATTAATAAACTAGCTATTGATCAACTAATTAGATAAACGGAAGCTACACCATTCAGAAAACACAATAATCTCAATTCTGTTCATTTCATGCTTTGCAAAGCAACGTTAGCATTAGCATCTAAACAAGACATACATTTTTCTAATCAGATGATGCAATAGAAACATATAACTAACAGGAGTCAGGAATTACTGCAATACAATCGAGTTAAGAAAATTGATACACTGTACATCTAGATTGAGGGAGATGGATCAGTTGCAAGAGTAAAGACAACTAATTCAATTCTGCAACTCTCTACATTGTTCTGAACCAGAATACAAAGCTAAAACTAAGCACTCTGTAAAAGAAAAAAAAGCATTTGTCAACCCAAGTCCATTGAACATATTTGAATGCCACAGCCTACCTGACATATACAAATAAAACAAGTATTAGGAAAGAAGTCTTTTTCATAGGCAACAAAAGTAAGCAAGAGTGATCACTAACCTTCTATACAGAGCTTTTACATCTTCCCCTAACAATGGACTTTCAAGAAACAGATCACCACAATCTTTCACTTCAACTGACTCAACTTCAAAAGCTCGATCACCACAATACTCATTCCATTCGAACCACATCTTTGCAATCAATTCCTTCTTGAAACATGTAGTGTGATCCTCCTCTTCTGGAGAATCAGCCGCTATCAATCGATACACAAACACTTTCTTTTTCTGGCCCGGTCGGAATGCACGGCCAATAGCTTGGCGAGTAACTGATGGATTGAGATGAACATCCAAAATAATTATGCGGGATGCCCCGACCAATGATATGCCCTCTCCACATGCCTTGATTGAGCCAAAGAAGACTTTGGCATCTGGTGAATTGTTAAACTTTTCCATGGAGCACTCCCTTTGTTCAGGGCTTGATTCTCCTGAGATTACAAAGATTTCTCTTCCATGACTCCAGCCCTTCAATTTCACAGTTAATCTTTCTAAATATTTTAAAGGCAAGAGATATTGGCTAAATACCAGAAGCTTCTCCACGGCTGATTCACATAGGTTTAGCATGTTGCAAAAGAATTTTGACTTAACTCCATCTTTCACATTTAGTTTCTCTATCAGATCATCCATTTTACTATCAGATATACAAATTTTCTCACCACACTTTTCTGCTTCAGATTTCAATTTAGGATGGAGATAGACAGCACTGCCTACAGAACATATCTTGAACTTTCTAGATAAACTCTTTAATTCCTTTGTTTCATGCTTCTGTCGAGGGGTAAGTTTGAGTATAACAGTAAAATCTACGAGACCAGGAAGCTCATCAAGAAAATCTCCTTTATAATAGTGAAGTACCTGGCTTGTCATCTCACGCAAATCTTGTATGACAGCCACTTTCCTTCTAAAATCTGTGTCCTTCTGCAAAGTGTTTTCAACTAAATCATAGAAGCTTTTCACGGCAGGTATATGTACTCTACTCTGAATGCGCTTCACAATAGGCCTAGATGTTTCCATCTTTTCAAACCTTGGCCGCACTAGATTTAAGATGCTAAACACCTCCTTGACATGATTTTGATATAGGGTACCTGATAGTACAACTTTTCTAGGCGTTTGTACTTTCGCAAGGGACTGTACCATATCAGTATTTTCATTCCTTGGAGTATGTCCCTCATCTAAAATCAGAATTGAGGGTTTCTTGAGCAAAATTTCTTGGCAAGATATTGATATGCTGTCATTTCCATTATCACATACAATTGAAGAGAACTGTTTGTATCCTAAGAAAAGGATACTCTTATGCTCCACCCACTGCTTCAACACTTCCAGTTGTTGATATCTACTATCTGCCTTCACAGTGTAAAAATCATAGAGTGGTATGTCCTCCACTTGCCATATTTGGAACTCCCTTTTCCAAGTCGATAGTATTCCCTTAGGAAGCACCACTAGAGGTCTAGCATTAGGATACTTGCCTAAAAAACTTTGCACAAAACTGATTATCATGAATGTCTTCCCAGATCCTGGAGCATGGGCCAAGATGCAGCCCCCAGGATGATCACCCACAAGGTTTCTAACAAGAAAATTGAATCCTTCAACTTGATGAGGTTTCATTTGCTTCATATGCCTAGGATGTGCTGAGACTTCAGTTACCATGAGATCATCTTCACCAATCTTAATTCCAAATACATCTGTCTTTTCTTTGGCATTCCATGAATCGCGCAAATAAGTTCTTGTGCTCCTTTTAACCTTCAACAAAAATAATATGATAATTAAAACAAATCAATTTTGAACACTTCATATCCCCAAGTATAAGTAATCTCATATCTTGGTCCAGAACATGTATCATGAGAAATATGCTCTAGGCATTGTTTTATAAAACCAATTAAGCCTCCCTGATATAAATGGTCTACCTACTTTATATTAATTTGGTTTAGTAAAAAGGTTCCTGAGTGCTTGAAGAAAAGCAAGTTGAACAAAATAAATCACCCAATTTTCCCACAACAGAAGAGGCACACCAAACAGTAAATTATCACAAGAGTTTGTGTAACAATAAGATTCTAATTGTTTCACTTTTCATCTTATTATGCCCTGCTCAAACAATCAACCTACGCATCTAATTATCAATTCCCAAACTCAAAAACTCAATTTCCCACACGTACAAATTTTTGTGACCAGGATTTATAATTAAACATGCATTAATGTGGAGACACGATTCTAACCTTGTACTGGAACTCGAATATGGTTTCAATTCCTCTGTCGATAATCCCACAAACGCGACAAACATAACCAAGATCATCTTTTAAAACAAAAGAATGATCACAGTCCTCATCTTTTTCTGATTCTTCATCGGGCAGAGGATTCTCAGAAACATCCTAGTAGAAGTACAATTAAACTAAATTAATGCCAAATGAAATCTTAAGAGATGCTATTATCAAGTGCAATTCAAAGTAAATAAAAAAATAAAATAAAAATATGATCTATATGATAGAGTAACTCACTCTCTGGAAGGTTGGAAAGCAAAGTATAATACGTGCAAATGCAACTGTCTCAGGTTTTGGTAACAGAAACAACCTTATGCACTTACAGTTAAATTACCATGATAAGTGTGCAAGTAGTTTTTCTGAGCAGAGAATAAAAGCATACTTACTATATACATGTGACAGGAGCTTTAAATGTAACATGCATACAACAGATATAACCCAGAGAAAGAAAGTTGAGTGAGAGCAATCCTTAATATATAAATATTAAGGAAGCGTTACAAATGAAATGACATGAAAAAAGTAACCAAACGAGTAGAAGATAAATTAATTGACAAAGAGTTGTTTTTATTGAAAAGTGAAAACAAATTGAAGTGTGAAATGACATGAAAAAGTACCTAAATGAGTAGAAGATGAACTTATTGACAAAAACAGTCGTTCTTAATGAAAAGTGAGAACAAATTAAAGTGATCATACTTTGGAACATTCTATTGCCATTGACATCTCTCTCCAAATATCTTCTAGGCCATCATCTACCTGATGATCTTCTTCCTCCTGTACACCAACATAAACTCCATTATCTCTCCTTGGGTTACCTTCACCAGCCAGACTTGTTTTTAGATCTTTACTTCCTCCATTGTAAGCAGTGGGAGCACGATAACCCTATAAAGTATTATTGCAGAAAGAATAGTAAAAGATTAAGGATGTCACCGAAACAACTAGAATTGAAAAAAAAAGCTGTGGCCTCTTCTCATGAAAAGAAGCAAGTAATTTAAATCCAAATAGGCCGAATCTTACAAACTACAAAGAAAGCTACCTAAATCCACACATAGTAAAAAAAGCAAAGAAAAATTACACAAAATGTTTTGAAAAATAAATGGAAAACCCCATATATCATATAAACTGTTAATCTTTCAACACTAAGGCTGTGCTTAGTAGGAGTAGAGAAAAAAAGGAAGGTAGAAATAGCATGGAATTTAGATAAAATACAAATCCAGATGCTTCCATTATTTTATTTTCATTTTGCGTTTTCAACCTTACCATTTGCACAATACCAAGCATACTGATAGGGCCCAGAGAGAAGTTAGTTAGATTAGTTAGCTAGTTAGGATAGTTATAGAAGGAAGTTTGGTCCGTTAAAGTTGTTAGGTGTAAGGAATTAGCTTTAATAGTAGTAGAGGGTAGGTAGATGAGAGGCATTCAGATTTGTTAGCATTGGAAACAGAGCAATGGCTCAGTTGAGAATTCTCTCCTTTTCTCTGTTCGTGTTGCAATCATCAATATCAGATTTTGATTCATTCTTTCTCTCTTTTCTGCTATATTTTGACTCCCTTACTTTTGGGTTCCTAACACATACAACAAATGACCAAAGGTACAAGAATTTTTATATAGTATTGGAACATTTAAGTTAAGCACAACAACCAATGATTACAGAACTGGGACAATCGAGGAAAAGAAGTCAGATGTTGACAATGGAGAAAACTTTGGAAATAGCTAAGAGAAAAGAAACAGTTAGCCTCTGCGATGATATCTCTATTTTTCCGCAGAAAAAATTAAAAGATGTGCATTGACAACTGATAAGGTATATATGGCACACAAACATAACATGCCAAAAACTAAAAACATATAGAATGAGTCATATACGGAATTTCGGATGATGGATATATGAATTATATTATTAACTTCTAAAACAATATAAACCATGTCCCCAAAATAAATGTCAGACTAAGTTATAGCATTAGCCTCTTCATCTCCAGATGATTCTGCTTAATACGTATTAAAAATTCATAAAAAGAACATAATTAAGGAAAAAAATAATTCAACGAGTCAACGATATTTTTACAAGAATCTTGTGCACCTATGTTAAAATGTAATACTACAGTTCAGTCAAATCAGCCCTAGAGGGAACATGCTACTAATGCATTCCAAATAAAAGCACGTGCATGCTAGTATATATTATTTCAATGTTCACATATTTAAAGAAATACAAAAGCAGGGAAAAACTTACAATCATCTTCACTGGAGGAGACTGTCCAACTCGTTTCGGTAACACAACTTCATGAAATGGAAGAAAATATTTTTGATCTCTATCATCTTCCTCATCTGAATCAATAATTACAACAGGAAATGTTGCTGCAGGAGCATCCTTTCCAAAGTGCTCCCCCACCAAATCTATGACATTTTGATGTGCCAAACCAGTAACTTGTTCGTTTTCCAACTTATGAGCTTCTTCATCATGATTCAATACTGCTTTCCATTGATTAACAAGCGTGGGATATTTTGCAATGTAAGGGCCCAGTATTTGCATTTTGCGCTCCACTAGGGCCTCTATGTCCTTTGTGACACTTCCAAATTTTCCACTGTCTAAACGATTAAGAACGTCAGAAATTGCAAATGGATTGCTGTATTTTACCACGTTTGAGTAATTCTTCGGTGTATTTGGTTCAATTTTATCATGTGCTGAAAATGGCAGGCTATCACTTGATAATTTCTGTCTCTTGAGATCCTCAGGAGAAAATCCTGATTTCAGAAAACGAAAATTTATGAAAATTTATATGATACTAACACCCATTGATGCATTTTTTCTCAAATAAACTGCAAATAGGCAATTTGCAATATACAAGTAAATACATAAATTTATTACAGGGAGAGATGACAAAAACAATACTCAGACAAACTACAGATATTCCTTCAAGTGTTTTATACTGAATATTGGGCAGTGCCACATGATTCAATAAGTCATCCTAAAGGAAAATAATACAAGTACAATAGCAAAAGAAAACATTTTCAACGCTTAGATAATTCAATTGGACTTAAACATGACCCTACACAAGCCAACGCAGTTTCAACTTCGTACAGCAGCTCATCAAACTGAATAAATTTATAAAGAATAAAATAAAATAAATGTTTGAAGTCACCATTTTATGTGTTTTAAGCAGTGTGTGGACAATTAGGTCCCTATAGAGCCAAAGCCTAATGGTGTTCACCCAACTCATCATTTCATACCACAGGATTCTCACCACCACCACCACCACCACCACCACCACCACCACCCCCCAATTGAAGCACACTAAGGGAATTACACCTTAGTGTGATCCAAGGATTTCCATTAAATCCTTCAAGAAGGCCAGACAGTGGTAAAGCTGCTTCTTTCCTGGTTTGAATTAAAGACACAACCTCCTTGCTAAAAATGGCAAGGTTGCTTACAAAGATTTCTCCCATCCCTAATCTTGCAAGTCGGGGTTTCATGGGGAGTAATTTAAGGGGAGGTTGTGCCTAGGTATGTTCACTTCACTCCCTATACCCCTACCCCTCATTTCACTCAGAGACTAAATAGTCTTTGCATGCACCCCCACCAAGACCTACAACAAATGAACTTCCATGACTGACCAACATGGAGCTCTCCAGTGTCACTAGGCAGTCTCGGACCAACCCTTAGTCACATGTTGGAACAAAAAGGGTTGCAAATACATTACCCAACAAAAAAAGAGCTTAAGCCACTAGAATTGGTCTAGTGGTGAGGGGTTTGGGTAAGTTGTATTAGGTTATGTGTTCAATTCCCACATGTATCCGAAAAAACAAAAAAAAAAAAAAGAGTTAGACATACAGATTCCCAACCAAAGTTACATTTCATCATCTAGGCAGTGGTTGACCAAAAATGGCCTCATGGAACCATATAAGCTACATATAAAGTTACCAAAAAAAAAAAAAACAGATTCAAGTCACACAAAATAAAATAAAATGAAATTCTCGACCCAAGAACACTGGCAATTCATGTTAAATCCAAAATAAATTCACAGAAAACAGATTGATTTCCATGAATTAAACAGGTCAAAAAGGTCACAAGCTTCACGTACAACGAGCAATTCATCCACAGAAAAAAAAAATTAAACAAAGCGCGGAAGAAAAAAAGGAAAATATAGCTGAAAACACAACAAAATTAAAATAAAAAAGACCAGTTTGTACTGTTGATCAAATTTTATTGCAAATTTAAGAGAGAGAAACTTTTGAGAAGGAAATGAGAAATACCGTTTGGAGGGGGGCGTTTAGCTGGCACTGACCCCATTGATGAGACTCTGCAACAAGTGAAAACTGAGAGGAAAAAAATTAAATTAAAAATATGGGTATTGAAGAAAATGATCAAAAAGAAGTTTTCTGCTTTTTTTTTTTTGCTTTTTTTTTCCTTCAAAACTGAGACTAATGGAAAGAAGAAAATGATGCTTATCTGACTAACCCAGAAGAAGAACCCAACGAGAAGAAGAAGAGAAAAATGGGTCTGAGAATTCAGACTGAGAGTGAAAGCATTTCAGATTGTTATGGTTATGGTTATGCTGTGCGAGAGAGTGTGTGTGTGTGTGTGTGTGTGTGTGTTAAGTGTGACTCTTGGGTTCTTTCTTGTGCGCGTGTGGGTAAATGATTCTGTGTTTTTCTCTCTAAGAGGGTTTAAGTGTGTGACTGTGGAAATGGTCATTGTTTCTTCCCTCTTCATCATATCACTCTCATCACCGTTAATTTACTCATCAACGGCAAAGATAGATCATTATAAAAATGATTCCATTTCTTGGGTTTTGATTGGCCTTTTTAAGAAAATAAATTCACTTATATACGTGGGAAATTATAATTATATAAAAATAAATTAATAGTCATGATTTTATTATTATTTATTTTAAGAGTTCTCTTTTCCTATATTTAACATAAATAATTTATCTACATTGAGCACAAAATGACATTATTTTGAGGTAAAAATAAAAATAATTTTGTAATTATAATTTATTTCAGTATTATAATAATTTTTTCTATTATAATTTTTTAACACAAAATGACATTATTTTGTGATCGAATGTAGATAAGTTATCTATATTTACTGTAAAAATATTAAATCTTTATTTTAATATTTTTCTCTCTTTTTTTGTCATTTTAATTTATTTTTGTATAATTATGATTTTTCAATATGATCATGTTATATTAAAGGGAAAAATTACTCTTATGTTGCATAAGAGTAGTTTTATCTCCTACACACTTATCGAAAATCGTGACATTCATTTTTTTTTTTTTAAATAGTGGGGTCCCACCACATATGTGTCACAACATAAAATTAAATGAACTCTATATTAAATGAGATATATTTTCCCTGATTTTTTATCTTAAGTGACAGAAATTCTTACATGAGAAGAAATTTTAACCATTGGGACTGCGAATTTCAACCTTCGGATTTAACTTTAAACAAGGTAACTCACTTTAATGCTGCATTTATGTTGAAAGTGTCACGAATTCCTTCAAATGATGCGTTAGGTGATACGAATAATGCAAAATTGTTATAGTTTAATAGTACCAAGTGTATGAATATAAAATGACGTGCATGTGTGACATTATTTATGTGCATAATACTTATTGAAACCGTACGATAAATGTTCGAAAATTTATTCGGTTTTATTTGGATGCAGTATTTGAAAATTTTGAGAAATTTATATTACAAAGAAATTCAGTTGATGTGATTGAATTTTTATTATTTATAAAACTAATTAGTAACAAGTGTAATGTAGGGGATTTTTATATAAAATTGTTGATGTATGTTTAAACTATCACATACATTTATACTCAGCTCATTACATAAGGTTCAACTATTGATTCAAGAATTACAGATTTAATCAAAATTTTGAGTCAATAAGTATGGCCTGTATGTTCAGAGAAGTAACAATTTAAAATATAACAAATTACAATTAAATATAAATACAAATGAAACAACATATATAATTGTAACTTGTTTAGCAAAAAAAGAAAAACAATAAATTTTGCACGATTAGAGATCGAAAATATATGACTTATTTTGAATGATTTAATTATAATTATTTATTTATTTTTTGAAGGTAGTTATCGTCTTATTTATTTTTAGGATTTTGAATTTTAAATTAATTTGTAATTATTCTATAAAAGGATGCTAATGACCTTTATCATAGAAGTTAAATTTTGTTAATAAAAATTAAGAACTAGAGAGTTACTCTTTTAATTTGTGTAAATGTGCTGGACAGGTTATCAGTGGAACCATCAATGAGAATGGCTGCTTACTGGTTAAGGCCACACATGTTGGATCAGATACTGCACTTTCTCAAATTGTTCAACTCACGCTCAAAAACTTGCTGACCACATTTCAAGGGTTTTTGTTCCAATAGTGAGAGTCTTTTTTCTTAACTATACTTTTCTAGTCCTTTTTCTAGTTTTTCCCTTAAAGAAAAGGTTTTATCCGAGTGTAGTGTCTTAATATATATATATATATATATATATATATATATATGGGAGATTGAACTTATATATGTTGATCATAGAGAACAAACAACAACTTCAATAATAAACATTTTGGACGGTGTACCGTTGGGATCTATAAGCCCGCTATGTTCCCTTTAGGGATGAGTCACTGTATAGGAGATACCCTTAGCTTAGGTACAGACCAAGCTAAGAGGTATTATGCCAAGCAATAGCAAGACAATAAGTAGGTGCAGTAAACAATAGGACTCAAAGTAAATGGACAATATAACGATACATAAGATGAGATTAAGTTGTGCCCATGGGGGCTATTTATAAGGAAAATGGTGTGGGTTGGTGAGGAGAGGGTCAACCCTCCTTGGGATATACTCCCATGATAGCATTGTTGGGCGTGGTTGGCGCTGCCATTGTGGCAGCGCTGCACCTTCTGCATCTGGCGATGTCAGCACTGGGCAAAAGGCAGTTTCCCTTGATGGTGCCTGTGGTTGGCGCCTTTGGTGGTTAGCGTCCCAAGATGGGACATTTCGGTGTATCCCTTGGACGTGCTACAAGGTTGGAGGGCGTGAGGGTCCACGTCAACCCTTAGGGCTGTTGCAGGTTGGGGCTGAGGATTGAGCCTGAACAGCTGGGCCGCTTCAGTGTTTGGGCCATCCGGAACAGGAGCCCCCCAGCTTGGTAGCATGCGTAGGATGGTGCCAAGTTATAGTCTTTGGGCGTTACCTTTAGGGTGATCTCCATGATTGGTAGTCTTTGTTGGGCGATGTATAGGTGGTGTCGCCACCTATATATCGTAGTAGACTTGCGTTGGTGCCTCATCGCAATTACTGGGCGTTCTTCGGTTGGTGTCGCCCAGTTAGGGATTTTGGGCGTCTTTGACTGGTGCCGGAAGAGCAACAGTTTTGTCCTTCGCTCTTCCAGGGGTACTTCAGGTCTTTCGTCCTTCTGACACGAAGGGTGTCTCTTCGGGTTTCGTGCACGTTACAATGATGGATTCTTCATCATTGCAAGCAGTTGCATTGTTTCGAGGCACGGCGCATTAATGCGACGTGATTGGTGTCTTATCGGCTTGAAATTACCATCAAGCCCCTCATCACAACCGCCCGTCCATGACGGTTACGACATCCAACGGTCGGAATATCAAGAGGCAGTGAGTGCCACCTTGCACTCCTTTCTTCTTTAAAAGGGGGACTTGTTCTCTCTTGAGGCTCTTCTTCATGCTGATTATTGCTTTACTTGTTACTTCCATTACGTTGTGCTTCTTCCTCCTTACCATAATGCTTCTTCACTTTCTGCATAGCTTCTCAGGTATAGTGTCTCACTCTTTCTCCTTTGATATTTTTTGTGCTTCTTTGTATAGCATTTCTTCTTCTTTTTCTAGGCACGGTAAAAGTCATGGACGTTCCTGGGTTGGGGGTTGAGGTTAAAGAGGAAGAGTTTGATGAAGCCTTTGACTCATTCGAAGGTTGTTTAGTGGGGCCAGCTATGCAGGACCATCTTGCTAAGAGTGGGGGAAGCAGCAGTTTTCCCTCCTACTATTCTTTAGTCCCTGGGGAGGAGTTGTTTTCCCATGGTACATTTCCAGAACTTCTAGGTTTTTCTTTAGTCCCTCATACCGTTCAGAGTCTCTTGCCTGAACGGGCTTTAGGGCTTGTGCTTCCCTACTTGGGTGAAGCATCTGGTTCTCGACTGCGTGGTGAGCGCCTGGAGTCAGGGGGTGAGAGCGCTTCTGGGTCTGGTAGGCGTCAGCCTGCCAGCTCTCGAGGGCGACGGTCAGGGGGTTCCAGTGAGGGGGTTAGGGCTCGCCCTTCACATCGTCGTGGTTCAGGGTCTTCAGTTCGTACAACTCGACGAAAGAGGGGTTCTTATCGCCATGTTTCACGGCGTTCTTCCCTTGGGGCAGGGCGACTTGTTCGGCCTTTGTCTTCTGTTAACCGTCTTCCACAAAATCGTCCCATAGAGTATTACTATAAGCCTTCCCGCCCGACTGTTGACTCCCATGTTGCTTTGAGCACTTTGCGGGGCCATATACCCAGTATTTCCCAATCTTTCCATCACCGTAAATATGACGAGTCCACGGAGAACCGACTAGGTAGATTTCATCCAAAAGATGGACACCTTGTGAAGTATGGTGTGTGGGACGCCATATACGAAGACCTGGGGCTTTATAAGATACCGCCTGCTTGGTGGCCTTCTTCTTTATGCTACTCAGATTTTTACTCTTCAAGCTCTTCAGAAACTTCTGATTATGAGGGTAAGTAGTTTGTGCTCGAGTTATTTTTTCTTGTAGTAATTGGTAAGGAGGGTGTTGGCGGTCACAGGAGTGGGGGATAGGGCGAGGTGGAATCTCTTTTCTCTTCGCAGTGGTCTTCTTGGCTTTGGTGAAGTATTGAGGATTGACTGTGTGTTTATCGCTCCCAGGTAGGATTCTTGCTTGACTAATGGAGATTGTTCAATCGGAAAATCACCTCGTGGCGAGGGATTGGGTTGATACGGAGATAGCTACTTCGTTATCAAGTTATGCTGACCGGGACACTTTGCGTCGCCACTACAAATCTGAGCCTAGCTTCACTATTACTGAAAATGGTGTACATGAGGCGAAGTGGCAGCCGTTCGCAGTCATGAGTGATCGTCGGGCTTGTGACGCACCTAGCAATGCAACGAAATCTCGGTGGCAGTTCATGGTTTACAAGACTTACTTTACGGATCAAAAAGTGAGGTTTCCACTAACTGAGTTTGAGATGGGAGTACTATCCCACTTACAAGTTGCACCTTCTCAACTGCATCCAAACGCTTGGGCGTTTGTTCGGGTCTTTGAAAGTATATGTCGGTACTTCGGATAGGGATATTCCGTACGGTTGTTCTTTACTGCTTCCAGGTGTCTCCTTCAAAGAAGAAACTTGGATGGGTTTCGTTAAAGGCGGGCACCGCGCTAGGATCTATATTTTCTCAGTATGCCAACTCGTAAAAGAATTGGAAACACACCTTTTTTTGGATCGAACCCTCGTTGGGCGAGGGAGAGCTTCCTTTCTTTGTTGATCCAGCGAGCAGAGAGTGTCAGTTTCCCCTGTACTGGACTAAAACCC